ACATGCAGGGAAGGGGGGGCTGTGCAGGAGAGGGACATGCAGGGAAGGGGGGCTGTGCAGGAGAGGCTCATGCAGGGAAGGTGGGGCTGTGCAGGGGAGGAGGGGGCCACATAGAGTTGAGGGAGCCACACAGAAGAAAAGAGGCTTCACAGATGAACAAGGGCCCAAGCAGAGCAGGTGGTGGTTTTGAGACACCCTCCCATTCGCTCAGAAGATGCAGAATCCAAACCCAATCATGGCTTGCTGTACTGAGGAGCTGGAATCACCAGAGAAGTGGCCTCACCCTTACTTGCTCCACTGCCCTCAGATGTGCCCTCCTTGTACCATATCTGTGAAATGGGCTGATGGGGCATTATTGAATTAGAAGCTTGGCACGCATGTGTGTGCGTGTGCGCGTGCGCGCGTGTGCATATGCATGTAGCCACGTGCCTTGCTTTATTTGTATGCAATGTCCACTTCTTGAGACTGACTTCCACCCTGGGCTGGGCCTTTGGGCTCTTTGCAGATTGAAAAGTTACAGACGCAGCTGGAGAGAGAGAAGCAGAGCAACCAAGACCTGGAGACGCTGAGTGAGGAACTCATCAAGGAGAAGGAGCAGCTTCAGGCTGACATGGAGGTGTTGAAGGTGGACCGAGACAGGCAGGTGGGCAGCCTGGCCGGCCCTGGCCTGCGTGGAGGTCAGGGAACTTTCTAGCCTTGCTTTATGACCTCCTCTCTGGAAGTGTGGGCCTACAGCCGGCTGCTGTAACTGTGGCTTAAACTGGTGGTTCTTTGCCAGCTTTGTGTTGGGAAGATGCCTGCAGGCCGTGTTGGTCTTTTCTGACTAGGGCTAGAGGTCAGGGCCCTGGTCATCCAGTGGGAGGAGCCAGGGACGCTGCTGACCATCCTGTCGTACACAGGACAGCGCCTGTAGCCAGGGCCTGTCCACATCTGCACAGTGGACCTCTCCCAGGTGTGCAGTGGTGGCCCTGAGCCCTGCTGAACCCAAACCACAACCACAACCCACTCAGCCATCCTCTCCTGGGTTGTAAACCTTTACGTGAGCAGACTGTTCACCTTTTCCAGCAGAGCGGCAAGTGGATTTGAACCACTGACCTTGAATTTAGCAGCCTGGCACCTTAGGCACTATGCCACCGGGGCTCTCCTTCTGTTAAACCCACAGGGGTTGCCTCTTTCCACAGGAATTCCCAGGAGTAAGCCAGTACTGATGTGAGGCCATGCAGGAACCCCACCTTTTTCCATTGGCCCCACCCACTGTCCTGGTGGCCACTGCGTGCTCCCCGTGGTCTGGGGAGGAAGAGGCGGAGGCAGCGGGGAAGGGAGGCGCTCCAGGACCTGCCGTGGACAGCTCGTCAGCCAGAACTGACCATGAGGGTCCCCAGCTGCCAGGGGGATCAAGCATTTGGGGGTTTTAGCCTGTAGAGCACAGCGGGTTCAGCACTGGGCTGATTGATAGAAAGGTGGGCAGTTAGTGGCCACCCCCCATTCCTCCAGAGCCTGCAGGGATTTACAGCCTTGGAAGTCCTGAGGGGCGGTGCTCGTCGGTCCGGTGGGATTGCAGTGCGTTAGAATCACCTTGGCAGGATTGCGGTGCATTAGAATCACCTTGGCAGGATTGCAGTGCATTAGAATCACCTTGGCAGGATTGTGGTGCATTAGAATCACCTTGGCAGGAGTGAGATTGGTGTTTTTCCTATCAGTCCCTCGGAGGTGCATGTGGTTTACACTTGGTAGCTAACTTAAAGTTGGATTGCTTGAATTCCCTTAGCAGTGCAGTGGAATAAAGGCCTGGTGACCTGCTGTAAGATGACAGCCAATAAAACCCTGCGGTACTCAGGGCTGCTCTGTTACACGTGGGGTCACCACGAGTCAGAAGAGAATAAGTTGAGCCTCCTTAAAAAAAGGAAAAGAGGTTTCTCTATGTGATCATAAGATTCCTGCCTAGATGTAGCTTATACGAATAGAGCTCTGATATATTCACACAATGGAATACTATGCTGCATTGAAAAACAAGGAACTCATGAAATAGTATACGTAATGGGTGACCCTGGAGGATATTATGCTGGGTGAAATATCTCAGTTACAAAAGGACAAATACTGCATAGTATCACTGTTATAAAATGGGACTGACATCAGGGTTCGGGGGGAGACTGAGAAAGATGGGATAAATTATGTATACTGCATTGAAACAGATGAGAGAGGGAACTATCTAAAAGGTATATATAATTAGGTATTATTGTCATGACAGGAGTCCAGAATGAAGGCTGCATAGTGGAGTGGACTTAGGGGGAGAGAGAGTATGATAATAAAAGAATTTTTACTTTTCAAAGAGAAGAACGAACTGGAGGGGAGGGGTGGGCAAGGAGAAAAGTGGAACAGTGAATGAATGGAAATAAAAACATCTTTGTAAATTTTAATTAAAATTATTGTAATAATAATAATGAAAGTTTACTGCCATCAAATTAAAAAAAAAATAGCGGCCTTTAACAGGTTGCCAGTAAGCTGATTGTAGATGTGTTACGGTGCCAGGGTGGAGAATTAGGGGGTGCATCGCGTTAAGTCATCCTCCACGTGCAAGACTCCTCAGGGAGGGGACGCTTACACGGAACCTTAGGAGCTCGGGGAGCCAGTGATGCTTGAAGCCTGGGGAACAGTGTTAAGGGGAAAGGGAACAGCATGTGTCTCAGACAGGAAGGGGCTGGGGAGCAGCAGGAGAGGAGACCACAGGTCAGAGGCCAGGCCATGAGGTCCCCACTGCAAGGTTTAAATGAGGGAATGTGACATGGCATCCATATTTAACTCACCTTGGCTGCTATCAAGGTGCTTTGTCTTCACTTCTCTCAGTGACGGGCCCCAGGCCTCCCTCTGTCTGGATCAGGCCTCTGGGAGCCTGCGAGGACACCTCTCAGGGACTCGGTAAGCTGACTTTTGCCCCAAAGCCGCTGAAATGTGTGCCTGCATTAAATTGTCCATGTCACTCCCACCGTGTCATCTCGCAGATCAAGGACCTGGAGCAGGAAAGGGACCACCTCAACCAGGTGGTGTGGTCACTGCGGGAGAGGTCGCAGGCCAGCAGTGAGGCCCGTGTGAAGGACGTGGAGAAGGAGAACACGGTGCTGCACCAGCGGGTGGCCGAGGCCAGCAGCCAGCTCAGCCGGCTGGAGTTCGAGAAGCAGCAGCTGAACAAGGACTTGGAGCAGGCCAGGGAGAAGGTGGGGCGGGCCGAAGAGCTGGAGCGGGCGCTGCAGCGGCTGGAGGAGGAGAACGCGGGGCTGGCCCAGCGCGCGGCCTCCCTGCAGGCGGCCTCGGAGCGCGCTGACGCCCTGGCCCAGGAGGGCCGCGGCCTGGAGCTGGAGAACCTGCGGCTGCGGAAGTCGCTGGACACCCTGCAGAACGTGTCCACGCAGCTCGAGGGCCTGGAGCGTGACAACCGGCAGCTGGACCAGGAGAACCTGGAGCTGCGTCAGATGGTAGAGACGCTGCGCTTCACGGGTGCCAAGGTGGCGCAGATGGAGCGGGAGAACCAGGAGCTGGAGCGGGAGCGGGGCGAGCTGAGGAAGAGCGTGGAGCTGCTGAAGGCCCTGGGCAAGAAGTCGGAGCGCCTGGAGCTCAGCTACCAGGACGTGAGTGCCGAGAACCTGCGGCTGCAGCAGGCGCTGGAGAGCAGCGGCCAGAAGTCGCAGGCCCTGGAGAGGGAACTCGGGGAGCTGGACGCAGAGCACCAGGCCCTGCAGCGTGACCTGGAGGCCCTGCGACTGTCCCACAAGCAGCTGGAGAGGTCTGAGCAGGACAGGAAAGCCCTGGAGCAGGAGGTGGCCCAGCTGGAGAAGGACAAGAAGTCGCTGGAGAAGGAGGCCAAGCGGCTGTGGCAGCAGGTGGAGCTGAAGGACGCCGTCCTGGACGACAGCAGCGCCAGGCTGTCCGCGGCCGAAAGAGAGAGCCGCGCGCTGGACAAGGAGCTGGCCCGCTGCCGGGACGCGGCCAGCAAGCTGAAGGAGCTGGAGAAGGACAACAGGGACCTCACCAAGCAGGTCACCATGCACACAAGGACCCTCACGACGCTGAGAGAGGTGAGCTGGGGACAGGGCCCCTCCGACTGGGGTGGTGTGGTCACCCTGGCTGTAGACAGCACAGTAGATGGTTCCAGAATGCAACGGAACTCTCTCCCCTACTGAATCTCTCCCTGATAC